TTTAATTGGATTGCAGGAATTTCCAGATGATTCTATGGAACATGACCACTCTATTCAACCACATTAAGGGTCTCATCAATGCTCATATGATTTTTCTGGATACCATAGAGAGCCATAGGTACAACCAGTAAGTTGCTTTATAAAGAAATGGGGTAAGGCCATGCAAGCTTCATTCCTGAAAGTCAGGACTTCAGCTGGGTTGCTACTGAAGACTCTTGACCCTTTGTGGTATAGTTTCAGGTTGGTAGCCGTGTTGGTCTGAAGCAGCAGAACAAAGAGTCCAGTGGCACCTTTAAGACCAACAAAATGTTATGCACAAAAGCTTATACCTGTTGGTGTTAAAGGTGCCACTGGACTCAAACTTTCTTTTCTTACATAGCTGTTATAGAAGCAAATCGAGCCCCCATTGAAGCTCATATCCCATTGATATTAAGGGTTCCTGGTGCTTTAATGAGTGTTCTAGGAAACCGGTTAAAAGTAGTAAGAAAATATTTAATTCTGGAGTAATAGAGGAATATGTGGATGTTGGAAGTTTGATTATAGCTGCTGGAAAAGAGCTAACAAACTATATTACATTGAATGCCATATTTTGAAAATCACTGTACCTGAAACTTCATTTGAGCCTGTGTGTGGTAGTTTCACTCAGCACTGCAGCACCTGCTGCTTATCCCAAAACCCTACGAGGTAATGTTCCATTTCTGAGACTGAGAGCAAAAACGATCTTGGGGTCATAGTGGATTGCTCAATGGAAGTGTCAACCCAGTGTGCTGCAGCAGTGAAAAAGGCAAACTCTGTGTTAGGGATTATTAGGAAAAGGGATTGAAAATAAAACGGCCAATATGGTAATATGCCTATATACAGTGTACAGTGCCCCTGTGTAACCTGTATAATGCCTCTGTATACAGTATACAGTATACTGTGTACAGTTCTGATCACCATATCTCCAAAAGGACATTGCAGAGCTGGAAAAAGTACAGAAGAGGGCAACCAATATGATTAGGGGGTTGGAGCAGCTTCCCTATGAGGGAAGGCTGAAGATTCTGGGACTTTCCAGTTTAGAAAAAGGACAACTAAGAGAGGTCAGGATAGAGTTTTATCAAATGATGTGTGGGGTTGAGAGAGTTGACAAAGATAAGTTTTTCTCCCTCTCCCAAAATACTGGAACTCGAGGGCATCCAATGAAGCTGATGGGCAGTCAGTTCAGGACAGATAAAAGGAAATACTACTTTACACAGCGATTGATTAAAATGTAGAATTCACTGCCAGAGGATGTAGTGGTGGCCACAGGAATAAACAGCTTTAAAAGGGGATTAGATAGATTCATGGAGGGATAAGTCTATCAATGGCTACTAGCCATGGTGACTGTGGGGAACCTCCACATTCAGAGGCACTAATCCTTTGAATCCCACTGCCAGGAGGTTGCATCGGGGAAGGTCTCTATGCTCTGTTGTTAGCTGTTCAGAGGAACTACTTAGCCAGTGTGTGACACAGGATACTGGACTAGATGGACTATTGGTCTGATCCAGCAGGGCTTGTGTTCTTATGTTATCTTCTTATGATCACCCCTAGACTTCTTTTGGTACCTCCTCCTGCCCTGTAGAACAGTTTTTCAGGGAAAAAATTTGGAAGATCCTATCTCTGCTGTGATTTTACTAGAGTTACAAGATAAAGGATTATGTAAGAGAGCCTTTGGGGTCATTTGATGGCCCATGTTGGTTCTTGGGATCAAGGGTCAGTTAAGAATGATGATTATACGTTTATTTATTTTTAATTTATTTTTTAATCTTTTTATTATTAAATTTATACCCCGCCTTCCCTGGATGGGCTCAGGGCGGCTAACAAATGAGGCACATATATCAAGATTAAACAGGTAAAAACAGGATAAAACAAGCAATAAAACAATAATTTGTACAAAAATACAAGTGCTCTAGATGTCACAAATAACTGATGGGGTCACACATGACAAAGTGGTCCCAGAGTGACACGGTAGACTCCAGGTGGTACAGCAATCCGTCCTTCCTCCCAGGGCTGTCTCGTTCCCCGATGACACCCCTCCATTTAGTGGTGATGGTACGGTGATGGTATAGTAATGGTGGCGGCTCCTATTCAAAAACCTGGTGGAAGAGCTCCGTCTTGCAGGCCCTGTAGAACTGCGCCAGGTCCAGCAGGGCCCGGATCTCCTCTAGGAGCTCATTCCACCAGGTAGGAGCCACCCCCCAAAATGCCCTGGCCCTGGTAACAGCAAATTTAATATCTTTGGGACCTGGGGTTACCAGTCAAAGTTGAGTCCCCGACTGTAGTGCCCTTGGGGGAACATATGGGGAAAGGCGGTCCCTCAGGTATGCCGGACCCTGGCCATATAGGGCTTTAAAGGTAAGAACCAGCACTTTGAAGCGAACCCGGTACGCTATTGGCAGCCAGTGCAGCGCTTTCAGGACAGGCCTAATATGGTCCCGCCTAGTGAGACCCATCAGCAGCCTGGCAACAGCATTCTGCACTAGCTGCAGCTTCCGGATTTGCGACAAAGGCAGCCCCATGTAGAGAGCGTTACAGTAGTCTAGCCTCGAGGTGACCGTCACATGGATCACTGTGGCCAGGTCATCGCGGTCAAGGTTTCTGCTTTCTGTCATATTCAATTGTTTGAAACTTTCTGTGATCCATATGCTTTTTCCTCTATTACTTGCCCTAAGTCCCAGTTGCCTGGGAGAAAGGCAGGTTTATAAATGTGTTAAATATCTCAAAACATGGATCCAACATAATGGCTTGGATCTAGCTGTGTACAAGCAGATGTATAAATGGACTTCATGCAGGTCAGCTTGCATAAGATCTTGTGTGACATTCAGCATTTTTCTCCATATATATTATAGTGGTGAGAAATTAGTTGTACACAATTTTGCACAAGCAGAAAAGCAGGTGCTGGGCCTCCATAGGGTTGTCATAAGTAAACTGTGGCCTGATGGAAAAAATAAAAAAGTGGTGTGGAATAATATATCTCTGTACAAGAAAGATACACTCTGCCAATAAATAGTTACACTTTTAGAAACTGCTGATAGGTCAATTTCTTATTGGAAGATGGATATGGGGGATATGAGACAGGGATTATTTAAGATTTCATACAATTGACAAAGAGTGTTGGTTGGTTTCTGTTTCCTATCTCTGGCAGTTTTTGGTAGGCAAGGCATGTCTGCAGCTTTTCCTTTATCTTTTGTGGCCAAGTAGGGTTTGCTTCACATTCTGTGTCAGTAAATGTATGTTGCCATCACTTATGCATGCAGAAGATAACTGATCCCTGTTGCATGTACCTAAAAAGTAGATGATTTTTACAGTTGAGTTTTTCACATGCATGCTCCCTTGTTCTGTGAACACACAAAAAATGTGTTAGTCTTGATTACTCACTTTCTGCACTACATTCACGTGGGTGGCTATGGGTGTGTCCACATATCTGTCTCATGAATCCTGCCATTTCTTCCAAAGGCTCACTATGACAAATAGATGGTTATCCAATTTGATTCTCACCACAATGCTGTAAGGTGTAGATTTGACTGAGAAAGTGACTGTCCCCAAGCCAACTTGTAGTTCACTTAATAATTACACTGTGCTTTTTGTTCTGAAAAGATCTTTTGTCATTGGAACTCATGTAATCTCAAGTAGCCTTAAAAATATATATTTCCTTTTTAAATAGGAGTTGCCAGCAAAGGCTTAAGATGGCAGTAGTTAATGCCAGAAAAGTTTTTGTCTACATTATTGCTTCAATATTAATTTTAGTATTGAAGACCACTTTTTACTAACAGATCTTAGGTACTTTTCTGGCTTGTGTTGCTACATTTCTTAGCAACAGTAAAAACAGTAAAATGAGAGCTTGGCATATATAATAAACGTATGTTCAGTGTACTATGCTCCCTATATGGTGCAATTTGTGTCACTAATGTTGATAGACTGGTTTGTGTACCTGATACAGCTCAGCGCAAGAAATTAAATCATAGGTTGTAGGATGTATTGAAATTACACAGATGACAATGGATTAATTGTAATTGCTAGGGTGTTTGCATTATTTGACCTATTTAAAAACCATCAAGCTGAAGGAATAATAACAGAAACTACTGCATGAAAGACTTCGATCTCTCTCAATCTGGCTGCTATCTATGTCATACATTTTTATACCGCCCTTCATCCAAGGAGCTTATGGAGTGCACAGCTCTTCTTTTCTGATTTTATCCTCAGAACAGCCCTGTGAGGTGGGTGAGGCTGAGAGAGAGAGAGAGAGAGAGAGAGAGAGAGAGAGAGAGAGAGAGAGAGAGAGAGGTCCAAGGTCACCAGCATGCTTCATGGCAAAGTGGAGGTTTTCACCTGGGTCTCCAAGATCCTAGTCCAACGTTCTGCCCGCTTAAATGCACTGGCTTTTCTCTTGTCCCATCCCTTATATGGTTCTCCAGAGCTGGTTGAGCATAATGACTAAGAGACTTAATTACAAATCAGGTTGTCCCCAGTTTGAATCTTGTCTCCTCAACCTAGCCCAGTAACATTGGAGACATATCACAGTATGAATCTCTGTGAAAGGAAGCGCTCTGGAGTAGGAGAGGATATTAGCAGCTTTGATATATGCAGGAGAGCAAGGTGACTTGTCTGGGCTGTATATTGGCAAGAAGATTAGTCATTATTGCCAGAAAATTGAATACCAAGATGAATAGAAGGTTAGCTTCTATGAGTATGATGAACACAACTGTTCTAAAAGTTGATACATTTGTAAAACACAGTTATATTTGCTCAGTTTGTAGCTTTAGGTCTAGGTCTGAGAGGGCCTATGCTGAATTGTATTCTTGACACTCAAGCATATCAAACATGGGCGTTCAAATGTAGATTCAAACACTTATCCAAGACACTTCAAAGTTGCTGTTCAAGCTACAGGTATTCTCCCCATTTCAAGCCCACAATGTTTAGACAACTACTTTTTCCTTGTGTACTGAAGTTACAGTAATGATATTCTTACTAGCCAAGAACTTCAAGAAATACCACAGTAGGACATTCATAAGTCTTGAAAAAAATTCTTTTAAATGTTAAAAATATGCACATAATGGCTTGTGCAAGTATATATCATGAAAATGCAGAAGAAATATTATATTAATAAAGTATATTAATATCTGCTAGTGGAATAAAAATTCTTCGTTTTATAGTATGACCTTGCTGTGCAACCAATATTTAGTAATGTGTACTTATTTTTGTTATGCATATATTTGTCTTTACTCATTCTTTCCTTGTGTGTGTGTGAATATACTTTTAAACAGTCCAAGCTTCTGGGGCAGTGCTTAATTATTGGAAAGATTAACTTGGTGCACTAAGCTAGTATTGCTGAGGCTTCTGTCCTGTACTTGGGAGTTCCAAATAAAAATGCAATGCGATTAAGCCTTCTCTTGTCCGGTCTTTTTAGCTTCAGTGGTTCTAAAGGTATCTGTAATCAATTTGGGGCTTTGAAGTCCATAACCGTGGCTGTGGAAGCAGAAATATTATATGACTTGAATTACTAAGTAATGCCATCCCTGTCAGAATGTGATTGTAAGGGATTCATGGACAATAGGTCTATCAGTGGTTACTAGCCAGGGGGGCTAAAGGGAACCTCCGCATTCAGAGGCAATGAACTTCTGATTGCCAGTGACAAGAGGCAACATCAGGGGAAGGCCTTGGCCCTATTGTTTGGCCTCTCAGAGTAACTGGGCCATGCACTGTATAAGACAGGACACCTGACTAGATGGACTGCTGGCCAGATCCAGCT